GAAAAAGAAGAAAAGGAAGGAAGGAAGGAAGGAAGGAAGGAAGGAAGGAAGGAAGGAAGGAAGGAAAGAAGGAAGGCAGGCAGGCTAGACACAATGGATCCCCTAGCCCTGCCCGGGCCACCAGTGGTCCCCGACACGAGTGACATAGAGCTGGCCATACCCATACCCACCTGGCCCCCTCCAAGATCAAACACAACCCTGATGCAGCCCTCAATGAAATCAAGTTGACACCTCTGTCGCAGTAGATATTACAGTATAGTAATAATGGGTTTTAGAGGAGACATTCTATTTTATCCCCCTCTTTCTATATTCAACAATAGGATTTCAGTAATACAGTCCTTCAAGTTTTGGGGTTCTATAATCTTCCAAGAACTGAAATGGCCTGTTAATATCAGAACCATCATTAAAACAGCACAGCAAAGAATATTCTTCCTGCATCAACTCAGGAAGTTCAAACTGCCCCAGGAGTTGCTGATAGTTTTATAGAGAAATTACTGAATTTATCATTTGTACTGGTGTCTGGTTTGGTACAGCAATCAAACAGGACAGGTTCAGATTGCTACGGATAGTAAAGACTAATGAAAGAATCACTGCAACTAGCCTTCCTTCCACAGGAGAACTATTTATTGTGAGGGCCAGAGGTGGGCTGACAAGATATCTCCAGACCCTTCACATCTTAGGTACAAAATGTTTCAACTTCTTAGACTCTTAGGTTGGCAATACAGAGTATTATATGCCAAGACAACTAGACAGAGAGAGATTTCTCATGCCATCACTCTGCTGAACACCAAATTCTTGCAGTTGACAAAACAGTGATTACTAATGTTTATGTATATTAACCTATAGTGTGTGCTTGTATTATTTATCCATTTTTTAGGTCTTATTCCCCTTTCTACTTGTTGATCACTTTTAATATTACTATTCTTCACACAGGCAGGTACATGTTCAGACTGGGTTTGGCATTTTTGTCTACCTATCAAATCCTTTCCAAAGACCTGGGATAGGCAGATGTGGATGTTTGATGATATTACACATATCATTGCAGGATGTAAGCTGTTTTGAGTAAAGCCATCTTTTGTAGTTGACCTATGGTGAATTTATCAATGCTAATGATGTTCAAGTGATGTTCCAGTTGTTCTGGAATTGCACCCAACACATCTATGACTATTGATACTATTTTTCCATTCTTTTATCACAGTTGTTTGCAGATCTTTGTATTTTCTTTTCTTCTCCATTTCTTTCTTTTCTATTCTGCTATCTCCAGATACTTCCATAGCCACTACCCAGACTTTTTTGTCCTTCTTACCAACAGTTGTTAAGTCAGAGGTGTTATATCATAGGTACCTGTTTGTTTGAATTCTAAACTCCCCCAGCAATTTAGTTTCTTTATTTTCTATGACTTTCTCTATTTTATGGTCTTACCAGATCTTGCTTGCAGGAAAATGATACATCTTACAGATCTTCCAATGCACCATTGATATTTTGTCATGCCATTGCTTATAATCACTCTGTGCAATCTTTCAGCAGACAATCAGGTAGTCAACTGTTTCTTCAACTTCTTTGAAGAGGCAGAACTTGCTGTCTGTTGCTGGATTCTCAATTCTGGTTTTGTATGCATTTGTTCTTAATACTTGTTCTTATGCAGCCAGAATTAGCCCCTTGTTCTTTTTTCAACTTTCCTGCTCTTAGCCATTACCAGGTCTTGTTATTATCTGTTTCCCTAGCTATTTTTGTAATGCATTGGCCATGTAATGCTTTGTCTTTCCATGCCTCCATTCTGTTCTTCATTTAGTCATTCCTATAGGCCAGCTGGTCTCTTCAGTAGTCAGTAAGTCTTCCTGGGTATACTAGCTTTAGTGCATCTTCTTCACTGTCTTTCAGATATTCTTCCAATGCCCCTTTTTCTTCTTCAACCATCTGATATATTTGCAACATCCCTCACCCACCTATTTTCCTTGGTAGCTAGAGTTTGTCTAGGTCACTGCAAGAATGAAGGGCATGATTGATTTGTCACAATTTTTCTGCTCTTCCTATTCATGGCTTTTAGTTCTGCTTGGGTCCAGTCCACTATTCCAGTTTTGTCTGTAATGACTTGAATTTCCTGGGTGTTTATTATTTCTTTATTGTTTTGCAAGTACACCGAGTGCTTTGATACTGGAGACAAATTCCTTGTGTGTTTAGCCACACTTCCCAAATAAACTATTTTGTTCTGTTCTATTCTTCTTTTTCTATTTTTATTTTATTTGAAAATAGTTAAAATATAAAACTCCCCAAAAAAATTAAAGTCCAACAAAGAAAGAAAAAAACACAAAGCAAACAAGACATTGTTAAAAAGTGCATTAAAAAATCAGCACATATATACATATTATCTCCCCCAGTTGAATACTGATTAATACACTACTATAATATTATTTGAGCACATGATGAGCTCAGGGGCAGGGCTAGATGAATCACAAATTGGAATTAAGATTGCTGGGAGAAATATCAACAACTTCAGATATGCAGATGATACCTCTAATGGCAGAAAGGGAAGAGGAACAAAGAGCCTCTTGATGTGGGTGGAGGAGGAGAGTGCAAAAGTTGGCTTCAAACTCAACATTAAGAAAACTAAGATCATGGCATCCGGCCCTCTCAATTCCTGGCAAATAGATGGGGAAGAAATGGAGGTAGTGACAGATTTTATTTTCCTGGGCTCCAAGATCACCGCAGATGGGAACTACAGCCAATAAATTTAAAGATGCTTGCTCCTGGGGAGGAAAGCTATGGTAAATCTAGACAGCATACTAAAAAGCAGAAACATCACCCTGCCAACAAAAGTGAGTACAGTTAAGGCTATGGTTTTCCCAGATGCAATGTATGGCTGTGAAAATTAGACCATAAGGAAGGCTGAGAGCCAAAGAATTGAGGCCTTTGAACTATGGTGCGTGAGAACACTCCTGTGAGTCCCTTGGACTGCAAGGCAATCAAACTGGTCAGCCCTAGAGAAGGATCAACCCTGACTGCTCTTTAGAAGGCCAGATCCTGAAGATGAAACTCAAATGCTTTGGCCACCTAATGAGAAGGAATAACTCAGTGGAGAAGAGTCTAATGCTGGGAACCATTGAGGGCAAAAGAAGAAAGAGATGTCTGGATGGAGTCACTGAAGCAGTCGGCGTGAGCTTGAATGGTCTCCAAGGGATGGTAGAGGACAGGAAGGCCTGGAGGAATGATATCCATAGGGATGCAATGGGTCGGACATGACCTCACGACTAACAACAACAACAATAATAACATTATTCCCACCGCTTGTGAAACATGCCCTCAAAATTTTAAATTACTAAATCTATTTGCAAATCATTGACGTCATGTATGTACTATATTAATGACAAAATAGTTAACAGGAAACAAAATAATAATAATAAGTAAGGTTAGTTTCAAAACCCTCTGTTAACAAATTGTTATTGTTATCAACTTTTAGAAAATTTATCAAAATTTGTTAATGATGCAGCTGTGGTCTGGCTTCTGGTTTGTGGTCGTGCCTCATCGGTGTGGATTTGGGTTTGTTTTTTGTGTGGATGTGTGGTGGTGATATCCTGTGTCGTTTTCGTGAGTGTGGGTCTGGTGTCATTCTTAGTGTTAGAACTCGTTTGTCAATAAGGGCGGGTTTCCAAATGGCTGGTAGGCGGGAGGTATCATCTTGTTTATTCATGCTGTGTGGGCGTTTTTCTATCTCAATGGCTTCTCTGATTATTCTGTTGTTATAGTGTTCAGTTTTGGTGATAGTTCTGGTCTTTTTAAAGTCAATTTCATGTTCTGTGGCTCAAAGGTGCTGGACCAGGGAAAAAGTTGGTTCCTCTTTTCTGACTACTCAAACTAACCCAAGCACAACCAAGCCCCTACCTAAACAGAACACACCCCCATCCAATCAGAGCACAGCCAAGCCCCCAACCAATCAGAACACACCTCCACCCAATCAGAACATAGCCAAGGTCCCACCCAATCAGTTCACACCCCCACTGGCAGTTAAAAGGAGGGATAAGCTGCGATCACACATTGCTCCTAGAAGCACAAAGCCGAAAACACCAGCCTGAAGATGATGAATGAGACTTCGTCGAAACGTCGCCAAGATACTTCCAATTTTACGCGGAAGAAAACCCGAATAACCAAAGACCTACATACAAACACCTGCGAAAACCTCAGAAAACAAATATATATATATATATATATATATATATATATATATATATATATATAATAGAGAGAAGATATTTTCTGAATATTTCATTCCAAGATTAAAACAAAGATTAAAAAAATAAGCTCTAAATATTTTGCAAATCAATAAAATGCAAAAATTCTGTGGTCAGAGTCCAATATTAATATAAATCAAATGAAAGCACTTTCACCATCCAAGAACACGTTTCCTTATGGAAAACTGAAAGTTATTCAAAACAACAACATAAATCAAAGGAAGAAAGAAAAAAAGAACAGCTAGAGTCCAGCAAGGGGTTATAATAAACCAGCATTCAACCATCCAATCAACAATAAAAAACAGAGCAAAACAAAAAGTGAAGTTAAAACCCAGAAATGCTTAAGAAAATGAATTTCCGAGAGGAAGATGGATGACCAGTGACTTTCTAACCATTCCCATAAGGAACTGGAATCTTCAAGACTCTCCTTCCCAGGTGGATCCATGACCATCCAAAAGCTGTCTTGGTCATTCCTAAGTGCTCCCATTCAAATCCAGAGAGCAGCACTGCCAGAAAAACAGCTTTGGCAGCAAAATCAGCAGAATGTCGGCAAGAGAGAAAAAACTCCTTACTGTTCAGCCCCATCTTGGAAAAGAGCCATATTCTATTCAAAAATATACTTGTTCATTGATCTATTGAGAAAATGATCCAAAGCTACATACTTCAGTATGACAAAAGTAAGTCTAAGATTATCAGTTCATTTGAACAAGAAATTAGAATCAGATATTTTCAATCAAAGGGACAACAATCAGTTCTGAGTGTGGGAAGTCCTACCTTCTTTAAAGAACAGAATTGTAGATATCTACTCTCAAACTCCAATCTTCACAACACAGGAATGTGGAAATGTATCATGGCTTGTACAAAGGAGATTTCTGAGGACCTTAATGGGTGGAAAAGATGACAAAACCAGTTTTAAAGAATTTAGACTCTACCAGTCCACTGTTAGACAGATGGGATACAAATGGAGACAATTTAACACCACTGTTTTCCTTCCCAAGAGTGGTCAACCAACCAAGATCATATCAATCACAAAGCATAATATTCCAGGAAGTCTCAAAAAGCCTGAGGATAATGTCTAAGGAACTAAAGGTCTCTTGCATTGATGAGTGCCAGTTTTGTGAAATCACCATCGAAAGTACACTGAACAAAAGCGAACACTGTAGGCTGAAAAGGGAAAGCCACTATACTCCAAAAGAACATTGCTTCTCATCTATAGTTTGCAAAAAATTACGCAGATAAGCCAAAAAACTCTTGCAAAAATGTTCTGTGGACAAATGAGATCAAAACAAAACTTTGTGAAAAGTGTTATATTTGCTTAAAGGCACACACTGCATTCCACCATATGAGTTTTATCCCATCTGTGAAACATAGTGGTGGCAAATCATGGTTTGAGCCTGCTGCTTCTGGATCAGGATGGCTTACCAATATTGATGGAAGTGTAGATTCTTAATTTTACAAGCAAATTTTACAGAAAAGTTAGGGCATCTCTCCATGAACTGAATCTTAAAAGAAAGTAGGCATAACATACCGTAAATCTTATGACCAAAAGACAGTTAAAGCAGAAAAAAGTTTGATTACATTTTGGGTCATTTTGACCATTTTCAAAATATTGAAAATTCAAAAACCTATAAGCACCACTGTATAAATATGCCTAAAAACCTGAAAGTAACTTTGATATTTCCCTTTTTCTATTATTCCTTTCTCTTGACCTACGTAGCCTCCTATCTCATATGATTGCTCACATTAATCGATAAAAACATAAACTCTGTAAAAACATTAAATAAAATTTAGTCATCAGAACTTCAGTATTGAATTGCCTTGTTAAAAAAATGAGCTTAGTAAAAAAAATATAAAAGAGTTTAATGGCAAATGTATTTTTAGGACGTTCTTTTCCCCCACATATAGCCTTTGAATATACTTTCAGTATTTGTTTTTCAGTGTTTTAGGGCAGCTGTTTTTAGTTTCTTTTGCACAGCGGGATAGGAAAGAGACAGCATACAGTAAAATAATTATTTTCTGAGAACAGACAATAACTACTGGGAGACAAAATATAATGGGAGGATTTCTTTTACTTACAATTTGTTTACGTGCTTACTTTATTAGTTGTGTAATGAAATACAAAGCATTCTCTAAAATGTATTTAACGAAGAAATCTTAACTAAAGCTTATGCAGACACCGCGCACATCTTTCGCATTACCGAAAGGCTTTCCTTCCTTCAGATGACTTTTCAACTCAGACCGTCCTCAGAAAGTTTCAGTCAGTCACACAGGAAGATCTGTATCTGAGCGTCTAGGACGATACACACGTTCCCAAGACTTCCCAATAGTGATCTCGTGCTCTTGAGAACGCTCTGCTTGTCGCTAGGTTACGCTAACCTTAAGGCGCATGCGTAACAGCAGTTTCTAGAGCTTTGAACTACAGAATAGAGTTTCGCCAGGGGGCACAACTTTACCGTCATAGATCATAGACTCCTATTCATTAGACTCATATAGAGTTAGAGTTTCCAAGTTCATATTCTTCCCTTTCTTGAGGAGTGGAATAATATCATACAAAGCACATTAAACGAGCAATTCAGATTTGAAAGACAGATGGCTAGATAAACTTCCCCCACTCCTCCACAACCTCTTTTATGTATTTCCCAGTTCAACTATATTGCTTGAATATATGCTGGTTACATTTTATACACAAAAGAGCAGCGGTTTTTCGATTTGGCAGCGTTTAAGATGGGTGGACATCATAAAGTGCCAGGTTCGAAAACACCGGTCTCGAGGCAGAACCATTCACATTCAAACCATTTCATATTTTTTTAAAAAAAGTTCGTAGGATCGTAATCAGTAATTTGTTTTCCAAATATGGATAATTAAATAAGTGCACTAAGTTAGGCTTGGAAAGGCCTGAACGGATTATATTGCGCTTCAATGGATCAAGGCTAAAAGTTCTTAATATGAGAGACGTTGCTTCGGAATCTAGTCTGATAGCGACTAAATACGATCGCGCTATTTCATAGATCTTCGTCTGAGCCGGAAAAAAACTGACATGCTTGGCTAGGAAAGATCAAGGCCTATCCGCTGTCAAAATAACTACGAAGACGAGTCCCTCAAATCGCTGACCGCGCTCGAGTTCCAAGCGGTGCTCACTAATTTTTATATAGGTCTACGCTTTCATTGTGTAATTGCTAGCGCATGCGTAGTTAGTCCCAAGGGCTGAATTGGTTGAAGTTGCTCATGCTGGTATTCCTTTTCTGGACAAGCCGGTGTTTCCCTCCTCCTCTCCCCCCCCCCCCGCCTGTGTCACAGCTTAGGCATTGTGAATTGGAAACATGACCCAGTGTTATTTCCTAATGCATTCTCAATTTACTGGAAGAATTATTTCTTCCTTCCCATTCTGAAACACCATTCACACAGCTTGACTGTTTAGCCACCCGAGGAAGAGGGCGGGGAGAGGGGGAAATAATACTGTAGGGAAAAAAGGAAAACAGTGAAACGGTGTATCTCTTTCCATGCATTCCCAATATTAGCAAGCTGATGTCCTGTTTATAATTGCTGTAAAGAAAGCCAGAAGAATGGAACGTAAAGTAAGGAATAGTTAATCACAGCAAATGGTACAACTCCATAACGTGTAATACTATAACTCGGAAGGCAATATGTAAATACCAAGAAATGTGATTCAGCTGTGAAGTGTTACCTTTTCCTTAGCAAAATGCAGAAGCAGAAAGAAAAGGAGGAAGGACGGGGAACAAGAGGGAAGAGGAGGAGGAAGGGAGGAAGAAAAAGAGGAAGGAAGAGTAGTATAGTCTTTATTGCCATTGAGCATCATGTAGGAAGTTAGCACCCGCCCCTTTCTTAGGGAATTATTTAGTCTTTTTTTACCTGTTTAAATGTCTTGCATGAAAATCTCTCTCATTGCCTCTTTGTTTCACAAAAGGAAAATGTTTCATGAAATAGCCAATTGAAAATAAAACAAAAAAAAATTATACTGAATAAATTAATAAAGAATCTCATTTCATTCCAGAGCATGGTTAGAATATGAATATATCTAAATGTTGATAAATTTGTGCCTTTGGCATTTGCTCGTCACAGAGAAAATGTCTCATATATGATTCACATAGAGCAGAACCTTCAGTATATTCATTTTTCACTACTTATTCCCTGTTCTTTCAACTAAAAAATAATTTGTTCTGGGTTTTTTTCTGTTTTAAGCTATTTCAAAGGCACTTGCCAGTTGGCAACATATTAATTAAAACAATCCCCCTCCAATTAGAAGACAGCCAGAAAAGAGCATAATATTTAAAGCACATAATTAAAAGAAATGTGCCATTTGAAATAGGAGTTATCACTATTTACTTAGAATCAAGAAATTATGGAAACAGAGTTGGTACTCAAAATAAACATCTTGTTCCACCCACTGCACTTCTCATTGAAGAAGTTCTAGAGGAAAAAACGGCTTTTCATTTTGAAGTCTAACGAATCCAGAGGAAAGTAGCATGCAAAATCTATAAATGAAAAGCATCAAAGTAGATCAGCTGCAAGATCCTATAGAGAAAAATGAAAAACCCTTGTAAGCTGTGGCCCAAGGCCAATTTCGAAACCCCCTTGCAAGACTTTCAGACATTTGTTAACAGCTATCTACCCCTTCCTTGCAGCCGGGGGAAAAAAATAAGGTATTACGAAGATAACCCAGGCTATGGCTATCAGACATCAAAAACATCAGCCAGACTATCCCATATCCTTTACATGGACGATCTGAAGTTGTATGGAAAAACACTCTCTGAAATAGAATTGTTGCTCAACATTGTCTGTACATGCAACGAAAACATTGCAATGGAGTTTTGACTAGACAAATGTACCATGCTCATCATCAAACAGAAAAATAGTGAAAACTGAAGAAATCAAGATACCCTATGAAAATTACATCAAGAGTATGAGTGAAAATGATCACTAAAAATTCCTGTGCATCCTTCAAGTTGACAACATCAAGTACACTGAAATCAAGGTTACAAGTGAATACATCAAAAGAGTGAAGAAGATTTTAAAATCCAAATTTAGTGAAGGAAATACAATCAAGGCAATCAACGCCTGAATAATTCCAGTTATTAGATACACAATTAGAATAGGGGACTGGATTCAAGCAGAACTAAAAGCTGTGGATAGGAAGACCAGAAAAATAATGACAATGAATCATGCCCTTCATCCTCCCAGCGACATTGACAGATTCTACCAGGGAAAATAGTGTGAGTATGGAATGTTGCAAATATATCAGATGGTTGAAGAAGAAAAAGGGGCATTGGAAGAATATCTGAAAGACAATGGAGATGGTGTGCTAAAGCTAGTATACTAAGAAGCCTTACTGATTACTGAAGAGACCAAACTGGCCTACAACAGGAGTGTCAAACTCAAGGCCCAAGGGCCAGATCCAGCTCGCAGGGTACTTAGATCCAGCCTGTGGAGAAGCCCTGGAAATAACGAAAGATTGGCCCGCGGTGCCTCTGCCAGTAAAAATGCGGCCCTCCTAAGCTCCATTTTTGCTGCCAGAGTATTGCAATAGGCCATCCCAGCCAAAAATGGAGCTTGGAAGTCCGTTTTCTCTGGCAGAGGGCTCAGGCCACAGGCACCCCCAACATGAGTGATGTCAAGCTGGCCATGCCCATCTCAGCCATGCTCACCCCGGCCTCCTGAAGTCAAACACAACCCTGATGTGGCCCTCAATGATATTGAGTTTGACACTCTGGCCTACAAGAAAGACCAAATAAAAACAGAATGGAGATATGGGAAGACAAAGCATTACATGGCATGTATATTACAAAAATAGCAGGGAAAATAGATAATAACAAGACCTGGCAATGGCTAAGAGCAGGAAAATTGAAGAAAGATGAAGGGGCTAATTCTGACTGCACAAGACCAAGTATTAAGAAGAAATGTATTCAAAGCCAGAATTGAAAAAAAACAGCAACACATAGCAAGTGCTGCCTCTGCAAAGAAGCTAAAGAAACAGTGGACTACCTGATTAGCTGCTGCAAGAAGATTCTAACAACTGATTGTAAGCAATGTATGACAAGGCAGCAACAATGGTACATCTGCAAGAAATACCATTTTCTTACAAGCAAGAACTAGTAGGACCTTAAAATAGAGAAAGTTATAGAAAATAAAATTTATAGAAACTAAATTGCTCTGGAACTTTAGAATTCAAACAGACAAGATACCTGCCATATAACACTCCAGACTTAAAAATCATCTATAAGAAATACAAAAAAAGTCTGGATAATGAATGTGGCAGTATCTGGAGAAGAAATGAAGAAGATTACAAAATACGAAGATCTGCAAATAGAAATAGATCGATCTGGCAAAAAAAAGCAAGGGTAGTACCAATAATAATAGGCACCTTGTGCAATCCCCAAACAACTGGAGCATCATGTGAACACCATTGCCACTGACAAATTCACCATCAGTCAGTTGGAAAAGGCAGCTTTATCCACTACATCCTTCAACAATATCTATAATACCATCAAACATCCACTTCTGCCTATCCCAAGTCCTTTGAAAGGACCTGATAGGTAGATAAATATCCCAAGTGCAGTCTGAACATCTGGCTGACTGTACAAGGAACCATATAATTATAATTAAATAATGTAATTATAATTTAATAATGGATTCAACAAGAGTAATTTTCTGCCCAGTTTTCATGCAAGCAAATGGAAATATTTTTGTTTTCTCTATCTTCTAAATTTTAGGCCGAGGGTAACTAAATACAGGATACCACTGGCCGATAATTTAATTTGTTTTTCTGTTACCAAGTATGCAACAGAGCAGTCAAAAGATAAGATCACTGCTTCACTTGAAGTGAGCCAAAGTTCTAATTCAACATGGTGATATGATAAATCAAAAGTTGAAAATGGTACCCTATTTGTGGCATAGTGACAGAAAGAAATTTCTCCAACTTAATCAGAATAATAGTTATTTTGTTATTAGCATGCTATCTAACATACAACTGTTCTCAAAATCACAGGTCATTTCATGACATTCCTATATAGTCACACAACATATTAAGCCAAAACAAAACATCTTAGTGCCTGGGTGTGAAACTAACCAGCCACTGATCCAGTATCATCAACTGACTTTACGATTGAATAAACATTTGCACATGGTTCTCGTCAACCAACTTTCTAATAATTGCTCTGCAGTAAATGAAGCATACTAATCCATAATGTTGGCTTCTGTGTCTTAGAGATCTTAAGCTTCAAGTTATCAAGGTACAAAGTTTATAGCTGTACAATTCTGCAAGTAGATTCCTCTGCAGAAGTCCTCAAAACCATGAAATGAATGTCATACTGTTGTGATACAATTCTATTTCTTTTTTTATGTGAAATATCACAAAACACCCAGAACTTGCATCACAATTCTCCTGCAGGTTGGCTGTAACAGAATCTTCCAGATTGTT